GCACATTAACGGGAAATCAGAAGATTAAGCAGAGGCTAATAATGTAGCTCGTGAACTGCATATCAATCGTGTGGGCCACCCAACACAAGTGCACGCGTTGCGCATTAACAAATGGTCAAATCGCGTGCAGCGTTATGCACGCTGGCGTTGATTAGGCAAGTATAAATACTCATACTATCTCTCATTGTCCTCCCTTGCTTCCCACTGAGATTTTTTGCACACAGCGTTGGTGTACGGTGCTTTTTTTTGAAATTTTTGCTGTTTTTTTCCTGGATTTTCAGTTTGCACATAGTCACTTTAAGATGTTTTCTTGTTCATGTTTTTGTTTTTTGTTTGTTGCGGTTGCACCCGATTCAAGATCCGAATGGCTCACAGGGCTATACCTAATAAATGAACTTGAAACCCTTCAGCTCAAAAAAGCAATGCCTTCTCGAAGCTTCACATCAATGTAGTCTGCGCACAGTGGGAGGTAACTCCTTCTGCTGCTATTGGTATAAAATCACCCTTCCATCTTGGCATTCACACATAAAGCTCTTTTCGTAACAAATTGCATTCCAGGATAAACGTGGTTCACTATGTGATGCATTCCTTTCATCTGTTTAAAAGACGAGAGCACAGTGTATTTCCCTGCTCAATTAAACATAGAGCAGCGCTCATACATCCGAGAAATCACTATCGTTGACTTCCCGCAAAGTCGCGGTGAGTTTATTATTTCTGGAGGGATGTTGGGCTGGGACAAACCCCGACCAGGATCTCAACATGCAGCCGTTTGATTGTGAACAGAGTGATCTGCCACAGTCCGCCGGGTCAGCTTTCTTGTGGTTATATGTTGTGTTTAGCTCGTGTAAATGTGTGTTTAGTTAATTTGTGCGAATGTATGTTTAGTTAGTTTGTGTGAACGCGTGTTCAAATCTCTCCATCTCGCTGCTATGGAGCAGAGACCAGCTCATACACAGCAGCGTGACAGACAACGACTTATGGAGGCCTTCATCCAGCACAGGATAGATAATTCTTGATGATAATAGTCACCTATACATATCCCATACCTCACATTTATCACGAGTATCACTGCCATAACTGTGCAGTCAATAGGTAACGAAGCGTGCCTGCTATTTTAAACTAAATTGCAGTGTCTTTTCCACCATGTTAATGCCGTAAAAACTAATATCCCTTTTGAGTGTTTCGCATGTGGAAGAAACCGAAGCATCAATAGAAACACACACGCACACATATGTAAAGATAGTACTCAAATATCCACACAGACAGTTCAGCACCTCACTTGCTGAACTGCCTCAGATTGTGAGATTGATGATTATTGCGTGAGCCACCGACCCCTACCCCAAGAGCGCTCAGCTAGAAGCATGCGCCACCATGCCCGACAAGAGTAAAAACTATTTTTAAATTGGCAACATTTCTTCAGCGGCAATGAACCACTGGCTGATATATTATTATTTTATGTCTAGGCACGCGCCTGCCCTCGCACGCGCGTGCCTCGCCTCGTCGAACGGGCGTCGTGGGGGCGGCGGCGGCAGCGGCGGGGGCGCAGGCAGAGGGGGCTCGCGATGGCTCCCAAGTCGACTCGTGCTGGCGGTGCAGTCACGCCTCGCTCGTGATCGCCTAGCGCAGGCCCCCGGTATGCCACCACCAAGCCCCCCCTGCTTCCTCCCGGAGCCGAGCCACCACCACCCACGCAGCCGCGGCGGCGGCTCTCACCTCGCATGTCGCTCAGTCACGTACCGCTTTCGTTTGCAGAAATATAAAAAAAACTGATTTTGTTTTGCACATTAATGGTGACCGGGCTGAGCCCATGAAGGTGTTAACCCTTGAGGAGACAGTTTTAATCGCAGGTGACTGCCTGAATTTAAACCCAGGATCTTAGCGATGCCAGCTCAATGTTGTGAGTTCGTGTCCATCTCGAAACCACGATATTTATTAGTGGAAGAATAAACCTTAATCCAGCTGGGTGGCACTGTCGTTAGAGATGTCGACTCAGAGTTAAGAGTAACGGGTTTCAATCTCGCTCATACGTCAGTTGGTCCATCATTCCTCCAGGGTTGGTAAAACGAGCACCACTTTGTGCCAAGTCAACAGTGGCTGTGAAGAGATTGGCTCCTGCAACAAGAATGTGGAATTTCCACCGATGGCTGCAAGGATACGCTCTGACCTTCATTAAACTATTATCATCGTTAATTATTTCACCTGTCGCCAACATCATTGACGCTTGTGTGGCCCCCAACCTGAAATCCTGAGCGATCCATCGTCCCATCACCACAAGTGCCCTCATTGCACCATCAACGACTTCTGCCGCACTCAAAATATCAGCGGGACGTTTCACACTCCACACTCCTTTGTCCAACGACACAGCTCAGCAGACAGAGTGCCCAGCATCGGTGATTTAATTACATTTGGCAGATCAGATGCTTAAAGTAAAAAAAAAACTGGGCAATTGTGTTCTTCAAACGGACGTCATTCCCACCACAGAGCCCCCACAGCACTATGATATATACCATACGTTTTCATTTCGAAAGTTTTTCAAATGATGTCACGCCTGCTGTTATTACTCTTTAGTATTTGGTGCTCTTGACGTTCTGCAGAGAAGAGATTCAGAACGGATGTCATCACCTCTTTCCAGAGATTACCATGAGTGTTTTTTTTACTGTTAAAAATTTCGACGAGTTTCATCGTCTTTATGTGACCGGTGTTTGAGTTATTCCATCAATGTCGATCACTGTCTACCTATCCACCAACCTGTGTGCCTACCGAACTACCTACGTGCCAGCAGATCATGGTAATTATGGTTTGAATGACCGAAATACGAGTTCTACCCATAACCCAATGTGCCAGTAATACTTTATAATTTCACTTTCAATGCAAAATAGTTTATTCGTCATTTGTATTTACTATACGTATGCCAATTTAAAAACTATTCATTCTGCCGAAGCTGGCTTACTTTCTTAATCTTGAAAATGGGACTGGAGAAATGAATGCATGAGCGTAACACATTCCTGCGGAGGGAGCTGGTAGGAACGTTGGGTTGCTCGGTCAATGGCCAGGGTCGACGGCGGCGTGGTGTATTCCGCAAATATGCCCGACTGTGAGGGCGGGCACAAGCCGGCGTGAGTAGGTTAAACGTTGAGTTTTATAAGGGCACCACGGGGTGACCAGCCCCTCCCCACCCAGCCCCACCCCACCCAACCCCACCCCTCCCATTCTCCAACCCTCCCCACCCAGCCCGTCCCTCCCTCCCCACCCAGCCCCTCCCCACCCAGCCCCTCCCCACCCTCCCCACCCAGCCCCTCCACACCCAGCCGCACCTTCCCCACCCTCCCCACCCAGCCCCTCCCCACCCAGCCCCTCCCCACCCTCCCCTCCCCAGCCAGCCCCACCCTCCCCACCAAACCCCTCCCCACCCTCCCCATCCAGCCCCTCCCCACCCATGAAATAATTTGCTGTGTTGGCCTTAATATGTGCTCATTAAAAAAAGACAACGAACCCTCATATAGCCGTAACAGACTGTTGGGGCAAGTGCTGTTAGCGAGCACCTATGATAGCTGACACAGCACACAAGGGGGTGGGTGGCCAGCATCATGCCCGGCCGCCTTTGTCTCCCCAGTGGCGATGTTGACACACTGCACCAGGTACTCATTTAAAGCTGAGTCGACCTAGGGGAGGCCTAGGATTGGTTCAGATAATGATCGCTGGTGTTGGCTGTGAGCGAGAATCAAACTCGGGTCACTGAGTTTGTAGTGCCGTGCGATAACCACCATGTCACCGCTCCCCACATTAAACACACACACACGCACAAAAACAGACACACAGAACTGAATCGGACAATACAAGACCCCATCGATATCGTGCTGGGCTCCCATAGTATGTTCGCGTGAGAACGCACTTAACGTTAATCTGAACACAAGGTGTGCTTATAACGCCAGGCATTTTATATGCCGCATACATTACCGCATGACAGACAGGCGAGGGCAGGGGTTTAAACGCTGCCACATACTACCTACAGCATGCTCTCAGCGGCCAGATGATTTATGGATTTGCTTAGACGCGCAGGCAGGCACTAATGTGCCCGCACATCAAACGCAAAATCTGGCTGCCGTGTTTCCCAAGCGTGCCGCATTATTACCGACCGGCGTTCGGCATTTTCCAATTCCGGGTGGGGTTTTGGAGACGGCGGAGAGACGTGCAGCAATCATGGGGGCGGCTCAGTGGCTCAAGGAGCTAATGCCAATTCCCATGTGAGGGTATCGAGCCAGCACTGCTGAGGACCGAGGTTCCATTCCCGGCTGCTGCTGCTGCTGCTCCACCGCTTAAGGTTAACTCCCATCTTTTGATGGTCAAACCTGGTCACTATTGGCTTATTGAAAGTAAACAAATATGGTAAATATATTTGCATTGAAACGTTTTTTCGCAAAGACCAGCTGTGAAGGAATGTTCTGTCAAAAGGTGCCAACTTTGGCTATCTGGCTGCATCGCACTACAACAGAGCCCTCGCCTTATGCTTTACACCTCGGCAGGGGGGTGGGGGGTAACTCAGGCCATCATCGCTAGAGGGTTAATCGTGAACACTTGTTGCCCTATGGAGAGACCGGCTCCTGCCAAGGCAATGTGGAATTCCCACCACTGGCTTTGGGCCAACGATGGAGATAAGTGCAGTCCCACTACATACATGTTCACACCTGGAATGACTTTGACTTTTGAATGAAAAAGTGCAGCTATTTCTGGTATTTTTTTCTTTCATCACAGTTGGTTGTGTGCATGTATGTTGAACTTCTTTTGCACCATACATAGCAAACCGGGCTAATTGGCGGTGCTGATCACAGGACAAAAGGCTCCACATGCCAAGTGTCCAGCAACAAACAGCACTGTCGATGGTGTAACAGATACGAGTTAAACGTTTCTTGATTACAGCAAGGTTGTAAGAACTCGGCAAAAGGCACGATGGGAGGGAATTCCAAAGTGGAGCAATGCGAGCGAAGAAACTTGTCTTTCACCGCTGAAATATCCGAGGCGGGCCGCAGGCACGGGTCGAGTGGGCTGCACGGGAGGCTGCCTGCAGTCTTCCGTCTTAAAGCGCACCAGCCTCACCGTGGGGTCTGCACGGACACAAACACAGGCACGCCGCTTTGAACTCCTTCTAGGCTGATGCAGCCCAAAACACAACCAGCAATTCTCTCTCTGTGCGTTTGGAGCTTCACGACATGATTCGAAAGCTTCATTAATGAGAGTTGCTACTCCACACATCACGACATTCATTGCATCGAAGTATATATATGAATATATATTTTTGGTTCAGAACTATCATAGAACCATTTCATATTTGTGCAGTGTTAAGAATAACACTCGACAAACCACTATCTTCATGAGTACTGAGATTTGAAAATATTATTTTGTCAAACATTTACTGTAAAAATATGTGTTACATAGCCCAAGACACACAGCTAGGCTGTGCATGTTTTGGTTGGGGCCTTCCTTTAATCAGGCACAAACACAAATGTGGAGTTTGAATGTGTGTGCTTGTTTGTTTGGTAATACTGCTTGGGGGGCACCCAACTTATAAGCAGAAGGCTCCAAAGTGAAATTCTGGAGGTCAATTCAACCAATCATCCTTCACCCTATGGGCTTCGTACAACTTTGTACCACTTTTTTTAAATTTAAGAGTGGTTTTCATATGTATGAGAAAGTGGAATTTCCACCACTGGCTCAGCTTTGCCAATAGAGGTGATGCTATACTCTTTGGTTCTTTCGGTAAAGTCACGTAGATATAAAATAAATCACGACGTTTCGGGCGCAACACAAGCGTCCGTCATCAGGTGGGAAAGCATGCAGTCACGAAAGCTTCAACTCAAGAGGTGATGCTGTTCCATTGCTCCTTTGAGCAGGCAGCACTTTGTGATTGTCTTAATTTTCAAATTAAATAGTTCTCCACGGCATTATATATAATGCATATATATTCTGCAGCATTTTCCAGTTGTGTTCGTCCAATAATTATTTTATGTATTCTAAACAAACGTGTTGTACTCTTTTGCTCACATGCATCTTTAGCCTTTGCAGGCATTTGTTTACAACTTCCTGTAGTTTAATTTCATGTGGTTGGTGTGAATCATGAACCACACCAAAAACATCAACAGGCCGATGCGAACATCTCCTTCATGAATGGACATTTTAAAGACGAGCCCCAGTGCGATTGTGACCATGCAAACCCAACCATGGACCATATGGTTTACAACTGGGATCTGCGCTCATTCAATGGAGGATTGGCATAACGACACGAACTCTCACCTTGAAGAACTCTCGTGGCAAGTAGAACTCGACATTGGCATTCAGTGCCTGAAAATATTGCCGTACGCAATAATACGACTTTCCTTCATAAATCCAATCCAATATTCAGATAAAATGTTGGTGTATAACCTTGTCGATGAGTATTTCCTGGCGCTCGAGTTATGTGTATCTCAGTGTCGCTGTTCTATCATTATACACTGATTCTGATGCTTTACTGATGATGTATTTAGGCTTTGTTTATGAAAGTGTGTAGGACTGCAATATTTTTGTCCTAAACTAACTGGACGTAATTATATTCTTTACTATTCCATTCTTACAATAGTTTGTCTTTACTAGAATATTTATTTACAGTGCAAGTGAATGTGATTAAAACAATGGCAGAAAGGGCCTCCACTAGGGTATTTAGCCTGCTTTTCCACTTTCGCCATGAGTTTTGGAAGATAAGTTCCCATACTTTACACACGACCACATGTGATTATTCAACTCAGAATAACTACTATAATCACCCAGGAATGTCCTTAACGCTCGTGACGTCACTCCACATCGACAACTCCTCCCTCATTAATAATCATGAGCAGGTGACGTCACTCCACATCGAACAGCCAACTTAATTAATAATCCTGAGCAGGTGACGTCCTCCAAATGGGCACCCCCCCCCCCCCCCCCCATTATTATTACCTACTATGAGCTAAGAATGTCTGTGTGCAACGCTCGTGACGTCACTCAACGTCGACCAGCCCCCCTCATTAATAATGATGAAGAGGTTACATCCTCCACATGGACCCCCCCTCATTAATAATCATGAGCAGGTGACATCACTCCACATCGAACAGCCCCCCTCATTAATAAAAAAATTATAAAGTGACGTCCTCCAAATGGGCACCCCCCCCCCCCCATTCATAATAATTAGCGGGTGACGTCACTCCACATGGGGGGCCGAGGCGCCTCCTCCCCCCTCCTCGGCGTCAACTCACAACCCTCACTACAAAGGCAGAACCCTCACGTCACGCGGTCTCCATAACGCTGTTGAGATATCAAAGTAAAAAGGACGTCATGATGAACAAGAGATTATAACCTTAAAATAAAATAGCTCTGTGTCACCGCGCCCTTACAAATTGCACACGCATTGATTCAATGAACATCACATCGCGGTCTGCTTTTCGCTTGCAAGTTTCAGATTCACTGCAATACACCCGTCCTTGGACGGGCAAAAGGCTCGTGAATATATAAACACGTGCAGGTAAAGGTCTTGACTCCCATAGTTAAAGTTGTTTTCTTTAAATCAAACTTTTACAGTTGTCATGATTTGCGTGTTGATAGAAAAGTCTATGGTTTGACATATAACTCAATGACATGCCTGGATGTAACGTATTTTCTTAACATGGCCCCCTTCATGTTAAATACACTTAGTCCACTGATTGTCCAAGGATTTAATTCCTGTTCGTAAGAATCTCTTTTCTTGTAAAGTAGAAATCTTTTGCAAGTTAATCTTCATTTACTGAAGTCACTGGATTAACTCCGAATTAATCCAAATTCATCCACAATTTTTTTTTTAAATCGCCATTTTAAATTAACACCCAATTAAAGTGAGTTCAAACAATCGTAAAAAAAACAGCTAAACTGTTACTATGGAACTTGGCTATCCTCATTAAAAACAATATACTTGCGTTTTTTTTATCGAGCATTCATCATTTCTTTTATTAAAGCCACTTCTACGTCAGGCGCTGTTCTCTGCGATTACCTCTTGTGACAACCACAACCAACACGCAAAGCTAGTTTTGATGGCTACCATAAGAATCCCTTATCCCACAGAGACAGTGGTAGGCCTTCAGCTGCCCTCCCTCTTCCAGGCTACCCTTTCACCTATGACATTATTTTATTTACTTAACTGCCGCTCGCGCTAAAATGCTTTTCAGTGGGATCGTGGAAACGTTGTGAGTTTACGCGATCGCTTTCGGGAAGGTCAGGGAGAGCAATCTGACCCCACCCCAGACGCGTTGTAGCATCGCCCTCACGAGACACGTGGTGGAGAGTAACCAACAGACGTGCCATAGTGGAACTCATGGACAGGGGATGGAATCATTACGATGCATGCCATCCACAGGGTCGCGGTCTGATTCAGGAATTGATATATTCTCTGGAGTATAATACGCTTCGGGAAGTAAGATTCATCCCAAACTTATACGGTGTCAATCGACTTTATCGCACATACACACATCGGACTGTAAGACACACTCCAAACTTTTATTTTATAATACTGGCGAAAAGGTGCATCGTAATCCAGAGAAGATGGCAGTTCTTTTTTATTTATCACTGATGCATATCGCATTACAATGCAGTAAAGTTACAGCATATAACATTGGTGTGAATGTATGCCATCTATAGTGGTACAGTCATCTTTAAACATACACACGAACATTGGAAACGATCCATGCTAACACACATGGTTCGATGTCCGCAACGTGAGAGGTAACATTAATCGATGATTCATTCAGATCTCCAAAACAAATAAGCCAGTCAGAGCACCAGGCGAGCCAGCAATGCTCACAACGTGGACTTGGTGATATGAAACGAAGCACTCATATGCAATATGTTTGCTGCTGTCAACTCAGTCACCAACGATTACTGCATGAAATAGCATCCAGTGTGAGAAATTTATTTTGAAATTGTTAATAATACCCACACTGGCGGTGCTGTTGTCATATCAGAGGGCGAGGGAATTCAACTCTCGGTTGGGGGTCAAACCAGCCCTACATTACTCTCGGGCCAATACAATGAGTACTACCAAAAGCCTCTATTATTGATACTTTGTGGCGATTAAAAAGTCATCATTTTAGATGAATGTTCTCTAACCATAGGATTGTGGCATTACCATCATAGAGATGAGCACTGGTCAGTATATTCCTTGGGGATGGCGGTGGCATGGGAACAATGAAATTGGTCCCAGGGAATAAGCAGAGTCTCGAGTGCTGGGAGTTTGAGGTATAAAAGGGTTAACACAACAGAACCTCTGCTACAATCACTCCCTGCCAAAGTGAAAATAACAACGTTGGCCTGCATGCATAGGCCACAAGACATACAAAATCAACGTTAAATGCTGCAGTGTAGGGGGGGGGGGGCAGAAGCGGGGAGCCGGGGGTCTTCTTGTCAGTGGTATTCGAGATGTGTTCTGGGCACCCGGCGTCCCATGTTGTGTTTTCAATTGTGCGCATACATCGACCAGCATTTGTCCGTAGACACACATCGTCATGCTCGTGGTATTTGACAAGCCCGAGAAGTTGACACGTGGCGATGATTTCATGGAAAGGACAGTCCAAGACACCGGTGAACAATATGTTGTTTAAATATCGTCACACCAGTGGTGTGTTCTGATATGGCGATATTACGATATGTTGTACGATATAAAGACCACAATATTTGTATAATCCGTCTTTACAAACTATGTTTGAGACGTGATAATTGTTGCTAACTCGATTCTAAATCTTTCATGTTTGTTTCTTGAAAATGAAATAGCCAACACAAAAATAAAAGTACATCTTACTCATTAAATTAGTGTTTTAAAAAAAACACATTTTAAAGTAACTGACAGCACCATGTTTTCATGACATAATTTGTGCAGTTAATGTCGATATTTAATCATCTGTGTAAATGACAGAATGTGTGTTATTAGCGTCATAGTTTGTAAAGTTGCAATGATCATCAGACTTGTCGGAGGCTTGTGTTTTGTGAACTGCAATTGAAATCTCTATTTGTACATGAAGCGCAGCAAAGCACAGTAACCACGCAACACACATTACAGATACAAACCAATATC